ATTTATATAAAAAATATAAATTTATCTTGTTTAAGGATGTTAAATTCCTTAAACAAGATAGTTTTACTATTTATTGTTTTTTTATTATTTTTTTTTTATGATCATTAGGTTATTTTTACTATTTATTATATTTTATTGTTATTTAATATTATTTAATGTCCTTAAACAAGGTAGATTTACTATTATTATTTTATTATTTATTATTATTTAATATCCTTAAGCAAATTAGATTTAATATTTACTATTTCTATTATTATTTATAATTATTTAACATCCTTAAACAAGGTATTTTACTATTTTATATTGTATATATTATTTACTATTTTTTAATCAAAGAAAATGGCATAAGACCTTAAAGCTTTATGCCAGAGACTATATTTTGAATTCATTTTTTTCCTTATCCGATTGTCTTTTTTTATTATTATTATTATTTTAAGCATAAATCTAACATCCATGAAATACATTATTTTAATATGTTATCTTGTAATCTTATACAATATTGTAGCTCAAATAAATGCATCTTGTTTTAAGGATATTCACATATATTCTATACTGTAAAACTTGATGGAATTACTGTTTTTCGGAAAATTATTTTAATAATTTATATATTGTTTTGTATCTATTTTGCAATGTTGTTTGATATTTATAACTCTGATAACGTCTGCACAAGTAAAAAAACCCATCAACAGGAAAATATAAGTACAATTGAAGCAGATAAAGATACAGATACAGGTTGATTTTGAAGGCCGAGTGAGCAGCGCTCGTGTTGTTTTGGACAGACGCTGATGTCTGTAAGGAAGTGCAGGCAGAGCTACTTCCTGTTTTTGTGTGCTGGTCTCCTGAGTGGAACGGAGGCTGCTTTTCACCTTCATTTAATGTTAGATCTGCTCGTTGTGGTTTATCTAAGGGCTTTTCCATTAGAGTCTTGTTTAGTTCAGCTAGTCGAGTCCAGTTTGATCTAATCTGGTGCGGTTTGGTGCGTGATGGGTAATATAGTCCGCTTTCCATCTGTCGGGTTCACTTAAGACGGGCCAGCGATCCGGTTCAATCCGTTCACTTCCATTCAGATCTGTATAATTGAATGTTATTGTTTTATTTGTATTGCACAAAGACGCGCAGCCTGAACTGGACTCTGTCATTTCTGATCCCGTCCTGTCCGGAGTCGTAATGAATGACTTAAAATACGGCCTGGGAAAGTGTACCGACTAAAGACGCCACTGTCTACAGTGATTCAGCACCCTCATGAAACAACAATAGGGCCAAAGTGCATTGTGGGTAATGACGATTGATGGGAAACACCCATCACACAGCGCTGATCTTAGACTCTCGTTCACAATAACCTTTGGAAAATCGCCCTGCCCTTTTCAAACAGGTTCCTGAACGTTCCCATGCTTTTGAAACACACCGAGAGTCAAGAAAAATTACTGATTAGATCTCTTTAATGTCTCAAATAGAGACTTGTGCTGAAATCTCAGATGTTTCTCCTGAGAAAAGTACCTTAGTAATCTCACTTGTGTCGCCTGTAGAGTTTCAGAAGAGATCTCAACAGTGTCTCAAACTGAG